TTCCACAGCTGACCTGCTAAAAATGACAGATTAGGAAACACAGCCTTATATGGTGTTTTGGGGTGGTAATTATGCTAATCTCCTCTCGCGTGCACGAGCAGCTGGATACGAACAGGTGGAATTTACGCAGCTCATTTACACACTTTTCCTGCAGATAGAAGAGTTTGTTGAATCTGACGCGACATGTTCGTATGAACCCTTTGTATGAACAAAAGTAAGAGAAATTTAGGATAAGAATACGAACATGTTCTTGCATGAGGCCCAATGTGTCTAAAAATGGCTGAGATACAGTATAGTCATTTAAAATGAGCTTTGGCGGCCATCTTGAAAATCGTATTTGCATTCATATTTTGTTAAAGATTATTTTCGGAAACTACTAGTAGTTGTAGAACTGCTAATAAACATTCAGCTTTGTATGTTTAAAAATGGCTGAATTATACCTCTTGGTGAAGTTAGCACAAGTGGTTAGCTTAAATTGGGACTAGCAATCCCCAGTGAGTGGTGGGCAGCACTAATTTAAAAATTAGTTCTACTAGCCCTAAAGCACTAACTCAAATATTTAGGTCCCCTAATTCTAAAGCACTAATGCACTGAAAAATTTATTTAAGTTCATATATTGTCACCTGGTGGATAAGTGACACATATGAACAAAATGAGTGACAGCTTTCATCCTCAGCTGTTAACATTAATGTTGATCAACAACATTCACAGACCTTAGTTAGTGCTTCTAAATTTAGCAAGCGCTAATCCACTAATAAATTCTAAAATTAGCAAAAGCCCTAAAGCACTAATCAGGAAATTAGTTCCCCTATTAGTGCTTTAGTGCTTTAGGGGAACTTTGTCCACCACTGGCAATCGCAATGTACATCACAACAAATTTCAACTCAATAAGTTTCTAAGCCATTTCAAGATAGCTGTTGTGGTCTTCCTGAATTTTCAAAACCAGAGTGGTTTTCTTTATTTATATGTGACCTCATAAAAAAAACCCACTATGGCCACCAATAAAAGTCTGCCCTGCTTCAAAACCTCCAGAACCGGTCTCCTCAGGTCCTGGACATTTACAGACTGATGTTAGAAGAAGAGATGCTTCACAGCTGGAAACATGGATCATCTTTGAGACAAAAAATTATTGTATTTTCTCCTAAAAACTATCTAATCTCGAAATAATCCCAAAAGAATTTCTAATAAAGTTTAAATATGTATCCAGCGGCGCATCATGGTGAAAGCTACAATGCTAGCCTYGGCACTCAGACATTAATTCTGAGTTTCACACTGTCGGACAGGACACGGCAAATAATAAATAAACAAATAAACAAATAAATAAATAAATGGCCCTATTTCTTAGTTTCAACATTTTAAACGTTTGCTTTGTTTAACTGTAAATAAAATACGGGTTTAAGAGATTTGCAAAACTTTGCATTTTGTTTATATTTACATTTACAACATATAATAATGTGAGAAACTTACTTTCTGCAGATAAAGAATTAACCCTTTAAGGATGGCGTAGAAAGTCTTCCAGCCTCTCTTCCCTCTCGGTGCTGCAGAGAGAAGAAAACCAGATCATTAAAATTACTAAAATAAAAACACCAACCCTGTYACAAACACTTGATTTGTCTCAAAGCCTAAATAATAGTGAATTGCTTAAACTATCTGCCTGTTAGCGAAATAACCCAAACTTCTGACGTACTTCTCTTTCCGTCTGAGTCGGCGTGGACTTTACGGACCAGGAACCCGTTCTTGTAGAGCAGCGTCCCCGTGGGTTTCGTCCCCTCTGAGACCAGCTTCCCGCTGCTTTCCTCTCTCTTCATGGACCTGGAGGTGTCCGAGTCGCACAGACTGTCCCCCAGTTCTGAAAACGACTTCCGCAGCTCCTCCTCATCACTGTAGAGATGGAGGAAAAATAAAATAATAAAAAAAAAAAAACTGATTCCCGTGGCGTCAGACACTTTACGTGCCACGTGTCGTCAGCGGCGTGGATAAACACATCATCATTCTTCCTGTCCGTTTGCCTCATTTCAGTTTGAGCTGAGACTTAAAAAAACCTCTGTGATCTTCAAAGCTTTAACTGAGTGTTTTCCTCTCCTCTCCTGAGAACTGCGTCCACTCTCCAGGATGAAAACATCATCCATCCTGTTTCGGCTCTGAGGAGACACTTCTGTCTGACTTCACACGGACGACAGGATCCTCAAACTGCAGCTAAAGAAAGTCTTTATCTRCAACCTCTGAGGTAATTCTTGCAGGAAGCTAAAAATCACTAAAATACTCCAAATCTTGATTGAAACATAAGTTACACACAAAGGTTATCTTTTAAACTCAGCTGTCAAAATAAAAACGACGGATCAAAACGAGCAAAGGCTACAAACAGGAGTGTTAAAATTTCAGTGTTAAACTTCTAGGTGTTGATTTAACACCCTCTAGTGTTATTTTAACACTTTCTGAGTAAACTGTCACCCAAAGTTGATGTTAATTCACAGTGTTGATTTCCTCTCAACACTGAACAGTGTTAAATAAGCTCCGCCCACATTTAAGTCATATGTAGCACTTAACAGAGTTGTTATGACACCAGCAGTGTTGAAAGAAGTATTCTGAAAAGCTTCGCCCTCTTCCACATCATGTCACACAGACCAATGTTTTCTCAGCAAGGAATGCTGGGTAATCTTATAGAAATTATGTGTTTTTATGTTTGTGACTATTAAAGAAGTTCATGAGAATAAAAATTTGTTTTGACTTCATCATTTTTTGGTTGAAATTTTTTTTCTGTAAATAATGTAAAGGGGCAATACTATGTGTTTCTCAGGCATATATTTAAATTCTATACCATAATAAAATAACTGTGTCACCTTCAGTTGTAACTAAAATGCTCTCTTACAATCTACTTGGTTTTAAAAACAAAACAGATTTGTCTCGTTAGCATCAGGCTACAGCATCGGGTGCATCTTCTGGGCGAGGAAACAGAAACTCCACTTGTTACCTCACCAGGTGGCACCCAGGCWAAAGTTCAGGATGAAAATAGAAAAAGGCTGGACGCCCCTCCTGAGAACCATGAGTAACCAAGAAGATGATAACAGCAGTTAACCCCGTGTAGGCCTCGCCGAGAGGAGGAGAGGAGGAGAGGAGGCAACAGAGCCAACAGGCACGTAGGCTGTTGCCTGGTAACCGCCTGCCTCTTCCTCCATCCATCCAGACGAGGAGAGGAGAGGAGAGGAGAGGAGTGGACAATGAAGGAAAGGAAATGAGAAGAAAGGAGAGGAAAGGAAAGGAAATGAGAGGAAAGAAAAGGAGAGGAAAGGAAAGGAGAGGAAAGGAAATGAGAGGAAAGAAAAGGAGAGGAAAGGAAAGGAGAGGAAAGGAAATGAGAGGAAAGAAAAGGAAAGGAAATGAGAGGAGAGGAAAGGAGAAGAAAGGAAAGGAAAGGAAATGAAAGGAAAGGAAAGAAAAGGAGAGGAAAGGAAATGAGAGGAAAGAAAAGGAAAGGAAATGAGAGGAGAGGAAATGAGAAGAAAGGAGAGGAAAGGAAAGAAACGAAGAGTAGAGGAAAGGAAGGAAAGAAAAGAAAAGGAAAGGAAATGAGAGGAAAGGAAATGAGAGGAGAGGAAAGGAGAAGAAAGGAAAGGAAAGGAAAGAAAAGGAGAGGAAAGGAAAGGAGAGGAAAGGAAATGAGAGGAAAGAAAAGGAGAGGAAATGAGAGGA